AAGCTGCATCTGACTACGTCAGATGAGCTAAAAAACCAATTTGTAAATAACAAAAAGAAACGTTGGGGGTGGGGCGGGAGGAGACTGTCAGGTTGAGCACGCGTGCGCACAAATAAGAAGAGGAAATAGCAGGCGGGATGGCAGAGCCATCCCCATGCGACCACTCGCTCGTAGTAACACAAACTGGCACCCGAATCTAAAATCCAGAATCTATTAAGAAATGCGCCAACAGCAATGTTTCGTTTCGAGTTTGAGAGCGAGTTTTAATCGGGTTGATTATGCAAACGACACGCGGAGCAAGCACCAAATGAAAGAGGCCGGTTTGCCTGTTGACTACGCCACAGAAACGCCGGGGCTGTTAACGGTTAAATCAGAAATTACAATTAAAAGCTGGATCGTAGACTACTCAGTAGAACTGCCTGGCATATTATCCCCTCACCGTATAGGACGCGATTTCAACCAATCAAAGCGCGTGCCGTTACAGCAGGCGGTGCTGTTACACTTCACCGTCGTATATTACCCCGCGTAAAAGCCGGGAATCATACATCCAGTAGGTGGCGCACCGTGCAGAGCTGTAAGTTGCGAGCATGAACAATCCTACATTTGAAACTTACTCGACAATTCATTGAGAGATAACGGATTTACTACCTGGTCCGTCGGCGTATTCCGCCACGTTTCCTCCCCAGAGGTCGCCGTGCAGCAACGCCGGCTTTATGTCGACATTCTCAAAGAAGCTGGGAAACTTCAGCTGCAGCTTCGACCACAACTCAGGCGCCTCCTTCTCGTTTTTCTGTGTCAACAGGTACAGTTGGCATTACACATAATGCGAAGCAGTCTACAATACACAGACGCAGGTGTATTATACACAGGTACCAAAGTATTACATGCTGATACCAGTGTATCATACATGGGTACTAGTGTATCATGCATTAACACCAGTATATAATATACTATAGTATAGACACAGGTATAGGTGTATATACTATTACTAACATATACTTACTTATTACTCACAAACACAGATCATGTCTTATGTGCATGTACTGGTACATTACATGAGAGCTAGATGTATTACATACAGGAACAGGTACAAGATCGTATACTCAGGAGACAACAGTTACACGAGATTATTTATTCTTCTATAAATCTGTGCGCATATGCTGCTTCGACAACCACACGATAAACCCAGTTGCTGTTCTGAATTAATTGTCCGTCCGCAAAAAAACACGCCACAGAGACCACGTAATCACCTCTTCCTGAAGACGGGTGATCTGAGTGCTGAGCTTCCTTGCCATGAATGTCTGTGAAATGACACACAAGTAACTATTACTGTACCAGTAGAAATGAACCTAGTACAGAATTTGGCCCTATACAGCACATAAGGCATGATTTTGATCGATTCAAATGCAGTTATTAATGCCGTCATAAAAACACACGTGTATATTCAACGTTATTACAAATGATGTTGACAAATATATTCCCGATGTGAAGCTATTTAATTCTAAATTTCTTGAAGAATGTGCTTTTTACGCACGAAACAAATCTATCAACTGCGTACAAGTGAAAAAAAGGTTTCCAGCGTCACACGTCAATGAAATCATGAAACATCAATGTACGCGACATTCGCTGCGCGCACGCTCGTGAGTACGTACACGTCTGTGATAAAAGCAACAACTAGCCAGAGGGCACTCACAGAGTGCATACCTCCGCCTGCGACATACGCCATACGCCATACGCCCCATGTAACATGTATGTGTTACGAGCTGGCTCGCCGCTCGCTGCTGGCTGCTGCTTACTGACTGGCCTGCTGCTGACTCGACGCGCTAATATCGATCGCGCGAACACACTAACACACGAATGGACTAACACACGAACACACTACACGAGAGCGATCACATAACCTCCTCCACTCCGTGGGCGGAGGTAACTACAAATAAACAATAACTGATCAAATAAATAACCAGCGTAGCCATGCGGCGCCACCTACAGGCCAATCGTCGCACCATGTGTTATCCTGGGGAAGGAAACCGCAGCACGTCGTCGTGTCGAAGCCATACTTGCTGACGTACTCCACCGCATCCTCGTCCTTGTGCACGGATGCTTCCGCCTTCTTCGTCTGCTTCCCGACAGACTCGTTATGTAGGTGCATCCTGCGAGCAGCAGGATAATTAACAATGTATATCATTCGTCGCCAACTTCATCGTCCGACGGCATCGAGTGATGAGCTTGTTGAACCCACGAGGGGAGTAGGGGCAAGGGATCTGTGACCGTAGAAACGGTCCAGGCCTCCGCTACACATGCAGGAGTAGGGGCAGTGGATCTGTGACCCATAGAGATGGTATAAGTCTCTGCTACACACGCAGGGGTAGCAGCAGTGGTTCCGCGACCCATAGAAATGGTACAAACCTCTGCTACACAAGCATGATTTTCGATCTAAACTGGCAACTTAAACAGATGAAACTTGAGCAGACGTGCAATTGTGAATATGGCAAAAGTGTGTTAATGCATCGACGAAGATTCGTCAATAAGTGGCAAGTAGGGAGCAGTGCTCTGTGGCAGAGCAAATTGCTTCACAACCGACAACAATGATCAAGGTAGCAGACAATGTTTGCTGTCAATGCCATGGCTACATTGTGGCCCTACAAGTGATGAAATTTATGCTCATGCCACTATCTAAACAATCAGGCAAAAGCAATGTTATCGCAATAATATAGAGCTTCGAAGTGATGACGTCACGGTGGCATGACAACGAACCTACTGGTTCTACACAATCATATGCTCTGGTAACATTAACTGCGTGTCGTGTTTTGTACCCGATTGTAACCATCATTCTGAGAGTCATTATTGCAGTTTTTATAGATTTCCAAAGGATGGAAGTGAAAAGCAACGGGGGGAAAAAAAAAAGAAAAAAAAAAAGGTTTTAATTTTTTTTTATTAATTAAATATTGTAAGATCGACTTCCTACCGATGCTTTACCGCTGTCTGCAGCGCACACACTCGTGTTTTACGTACGCACAACATTTTCACGCAGTTAATGTTATGGAGCCAGTGGGTTGTGTAGAACCAGTAGGTTCGTTGTCATGCCACCGTGACGTCTCACTTCGGTACTCTATAAATGAACGAACTCACTTGCTAACAGATATGGGTGAGTTAGACTTTGGAGTAGTATCGGTAGGCTTTCAGGGTGCACCGCTACCACTACATGGACGGCACGTACCTTGCCAGCTGCCGCCCCAGCTCTGCGTCGTGTTTACTTAGTCCTGTCATGTCCAAGTGCTCCATTACAAGCAGTGCACCGCCGCTTGGATTGTCTAATACCTGTGTGACGAACCAATCCGCATGTACACAATATATTCATCGATTATAGATTTAACAAGATTAAGCATTAAACTTGTGTCTGGTGTAGTTCAATTCAACTAACATTAATTTTGAATTTTTTTAAGAATTGCAAACTTCATGAAATGACATTTATGACCATGTGTTCAACTATCATTACTAATATAATACTAATAAAACAAATTTCTAGACGGTTGTATAGTTTTATAAACGAATAAATATTATATATATATATATATATATATTATATATATATATACATATATATAATTCACTCTCTGGACAGATATGATGGGAATTTTGAAGTGTATTTGGAGTTTTTATAGTATGCACAGTGAATTCCTCTACTGCGCAGGTATAGTGACATCCCCCTATGTATGGACTTGGTCAGTTGAATGAATGTTAATAAAATACTTACTAACATAGGTGTTGGTGTCTTGACAGTGTGTGTTTCTGCTATGGCTTTCAGACTTGCATATTCACCATCAAACATCCGTCTTGCCTGAAAATTTAATGAAATGAACGATGACTACAAAGGCAGCATGTTACACATGCAAGTATTACAGTGCTTGCTATTACCCTCAACAATCAATCAACAATCCCAGCCTTACAGCTCGTTAGTTGAGAGAGTGCAACCAATTTCTAGAAAGGATACAGCTCTAGCGCCTGATCCAAATCCCGATCCAGGTACTAATCTACATTCAGGTGTGGATTTTAATCCAGGCACAATTCTACAATTTCTAGATCCAGATCTTAATTCAGATATTAATACACAGGGTGCGAAATTAACGGGAGTCCGGAGTCAAATACTCCCTGATTTACTGTCGGATTCCCTGATTTGACATATGCAGGAGTCCGTGTGACTCCCTGAAAATTCTGCCATTCTAACTAGTTCGTTCCAGAGCACGGCCTCGCGGAATTACCGTATTTTTTCTATAAAAGTCCAAAGAAAATTTGGCAGACATGCAACCGCATAAATCTTAAAAATAAGCACATGCAATATTGTTAGTATCTTTCATTTTGAACTTCAGACTGCGGACTCCCTCATTTTGCTGCGGACTCCCTCTTTTTGAGGTTAGGGAGTCCGTGTTCAAAAGTTAATTTCTACCCCTGATACATATCCAAAGGTTTATCCAGATTTAGATCCAGATCATAATCCATATACTAATCCAGATCACAATCCAGATAGATACCGATCCAGATCCAGATCACAATCCAGATAGATACCGATCCCGTTCCGGATCCAGATAATCATCCAGATCCAGATCATAATCTAGATACTGATCCAGATCCAGATACAAATCTTATTCCAGATCACAATCTAGATCGCCGTCGTCGGCCTCACCCGTCCTCCCTCCTCGCCGCGCCATCCCTCACCTTGGCCTTGCTGTTGACCTTTAGGTAGACCTTGCCGTGGTCGGTCGTGTAGCCCTGGCCGGAGCTGATGCATCCGCCGCCGCCGTGGCCGAACGGCTCGAGCGTCTTCGAGCCGAGCTTCAGCTTGATCTCATCGTGCAGCTCCTCCATCGACTGGAAAGTGGATGTGCTCGAGCGCACCATCTGGGGAGGAGGGAGGAGGAAGAGGGAGGGTGGAGGTCCCAGTCAGCACTTGCACAGGAAGGAGGTCCGGATCGCCGTGCGTGCGCGGAGGCGGCCGCGTATGAGGCGGCTGGAGAAAGCGCAAAGAGCAGAATGTTGCATCAAAAATGTTGCGAGTGTTGCATGCAACATTGCGGCGCGTACTGGCACGCGACGCTAAGAAACCTAGAAAGCGTCGCAAGCTGATGAAACTATTTGCAGAAGATATCAACACCACTTCCCGCTCTACTGCAATTGATCTAAGGCGCATGCGTGTGGGGAGGCGGCTGGAGAAAGCGCAGAGAGCAGAGCGTAAACGCGCAGCGGCGTCACGGCGCAAGCATCGTTCTAGCTTACGCCAAGGAGCTAAATATAACAAGGAGAGGAAGCGCCGCCATATTTGCCATATTTGGTCATATTGGTCCAGAACAGATTAGTGTTCTATTGTCTCTGGGGGACGGATCTGCACAGCCGTTTCAGCTGATTATGGTCCATAGATGGCGTCCTTGAGGCGAAAAGCCCACAGCCAATCCGCTTCCTCTCCTTGTTATATTTAGCTCCTTGGCTTACGCCGTGACGCGTTGCTATGCCGCAGGGCTACCGCCGCTGTCGCAAAATGCGATGAATAGATAACAATGGCGATTTCACTACAATACTGTTGCCGAGTCGCAGTGAGGCGTGTTCCGAAACGTAAACATCATAACGAGAACGGTACAGGAAGTTGTCTGTGCAGCTGACTGCAGCTGCCTGACGGTGACGCCGCATCGCGCAATGCGATTTAACGTTAGCCAGCTATCTATGAGTTTTTATACATCCACGTACCCAAGCCTAGTTTAGCACACCAGATTAGTGTAGCACATATTTGACAACATACTGCGGGGGTCCCAAACTATCCTTGATCCCATCTACGACCCTACCAGTGCCAGTACCAGTACTACTACTAGCCGGGCTGTTTCACAGGCATTTGGAGCGTTTCAATAAAATATAATGCTAAATAAATACGAAATCTATTTACTACCAAAGTCTTAATGTTTCTATACTCTCTTTCACCTATCGATGGCTCAATGGTTGAGTGCTCGCCTCGTATGTGGAAGGTCGGGGGTTCAACTCACGGCCGGGTCATACCAAAGACTTGAAAAATTGTACACACGGCTTCTCTGCTTAGCATTCAGCAAATAGAGATAGAGTGTGGCAAGTTAACTCGCAGTGCTACCAGTGGACTAACCCCCTACTGTAGCATTTACTGTGAAAGCAGTTGCAGGGCCTCAGGGTCACTGAAACGGAGATAGGCACCGCCCTATGCGCCATGTAACCATGTGTCATGTGTATGAAGGCGCGGAAAGGATTTAATTTTTAACTTTAATTTCACCTATTATTGCCGACAATTTTTTGTAAATGCCGTCCAAATGCTCATCTGCAACAAACACTGGCTGCCGCCATTGCTGCCACTGCACACTGACACATAAATATATAGCAGGTAGAAAAGCGTGCTGCCAAAATTCGCTCGACTTCACACGAATACAACACAAATATTCAACCATTCTACTCCACCTTTGTTTCTATTTGAAGAACAGCTGTGTCACGTGAAATCACACAAAGCCTGACGAAATTCTCGCATTTGCTCCCGTTGCGCAGTTTATGTAAATGGCTGTCAGAATCAGGAAACACCCACCGGTGCTCTTCGTGACCTCATTTTTGCGCCGCAACGCTGCAACGTTTTTGCAACGCTCCACTGGCAGCTCTGACGAGGCTCGTATGGGAGTTGGAAAGCAGCGTGGTAGTTTCCCAAAATGCAGTGCGCTGCCTATTATAGCCCTGCTGTACTTGCACGTCCATATTTACATAAAACGCACCAACGGAGCAAATGCGAGAATTTTTCGTCAGGGCTCTGTGTGATTTCGGCGAGACCAGCTCGGTTCGAAACACAGATCAGTATGTTAATATTTAAAGCCGGCACTATGAGGCATCCAAAACGCTGATTTCTCCAGTCTAAGACCTAGCAAATACTTGGTGTCATGGGCATATCACACTACCCTATGACCGAATAAACTCTAAGTTCCTCCCCAATTTCACTGCGCGTTGTCTATAAATAGCATTTGAAATACCTCCAATGTCTGTTCAAATTCTCTCCGATTTTTGGAGCAGGACTTTTGCGTTGCTCTGGGCCAGCATCCGTGGAGCGGTGCTGTGGTTATCAGCGATACGGTGGTAGCAAAGATAAAAACATGTTGACGGTCACCTAACCGATTCTTGCGAAATTGTTTGGCAAAGCAATTTGGCTTGGCGCCAGAATTACCCTGAATTTCTGCATACCTCTTTTCTTGTGGGTTTCAGCAACCGCCTGAAATGGGAGGAAGCTAGAGTATATTTTGCCATAAGGTAGTGTGGAATTATGCATACACAAAGATTTGGCTAGCTCTAGTACTGGAGAAATTAGCGATTTGATGCGCATAGTCCGATTTTAAGCTGAACACTGTTCTCAATTAGAAACAAAGATGGAGTGAAATGGTTGACATGTTTGTTTTGTATTCGCGTAAAATCCAAAGCGAGCGCTTGAGGCCATTTTGGCAGCACCGCTTTCCTCCTGCTATTATTTATGTGTTTCAGTGTGGCAGCTGGCAGCAATGCCGCAGCCAGTGTTTGTTGCAGATAGCATTTGGACGCATGTTACAGAAGAATTGTCGCAATGCGATATACTAATTCAGGTGAAAGAAAGCTATAGAAATAGTAAAGTTTGGTAGTAAATAGATTTTGTATGTTTATTTAGCATATAGTTTTTTTGAAATCGCTCCAATGTGCCCTGTGCCTGTGGGCTATTGTTTGCCAAGTTTGGCCACTTGGCAGCAAGAACAAAGTCGGCACCTGCAGCTACAGCACACACAGCGGCCATTGACTATATATTAACAACAATTATTTTTGTTATATACAGTCTATGTTGTTTATATATAGAGCTATGTTTGTTCATATATAGTCCAATGGCCGCGTGTGTGCTGTAGCTGCAAAGGTGCCGACTTGTTCTTGGGCTGCCAGTGAGGCTGATAGGGTGCTATGTCCCCCAGGGTACTGCCGCAACGTACCCTGGTACTAAAATACTACTATCTAATATGCCGGACCGTACCTCGCCTACTCCACTAACGAGTCTAAGGGAGTCGCGTACGGCCTACTCCCCAGTAACCCTAAACTCAAACCCTAAACCTATATGAGGCTAGATAGTTAGCAGTAGCGTTCCGGTATACCGACCGTACCAGAGTACGTCCGGGCAGTACCCTGGGGGACCATAGACCCTAATCAGCGCCAGTGAGTTTTTGGCTGGAACGTACAACCGCGTTAACGCCGTTACTCGTTAGCATAGGGCCTACCTACACGGCTATAGTACTAGAGCTAGGCCAAGACAAGACTCAAGAGGTTGAAAGCTTGTTCGTCGCTAAATGACGTCACAGTTGTCAACTGTACAAAATTTAAAAATTTTTTTAATAGGTTATGGTTAGGGTTAGGATCACAATGCAATCTCAATCACAAACAGGAGTTTGAGCTCGTACGGACGTCGACGACACGCGTGACATTCATTGAGCCACGAAACAAGCTTTCAACCTCTGAGTCTTGTCTGGCCTAGCTCTAGTATATATGCGCACACGTACATTTGACTGGCCGGCAGGCTATAGAACATTGTCGGCTGATTTTGCAGCAACCACGCGGTCCCAACAGGTTCCACTCATATAGGCTCACAAAACAGAAAATGATGGGCTTTTAAACACTGTATGTATCTACATGGAGCATCTCACCTATCTTTTTGACGCCTTTCCACAACTTTACACCCATGTATTTATCCTTTTTATTACTCAAATCAGCACTACTGGCATCCCCGGTTTCAATATTAATATTCTGGGCGTGGCGAACGCGGTGACGTCACCATTGTATTTGTACAATAATGCATCCATAGCGGCCATGTGTTTGTCTTACGCTATCCGGTGACGTCACGCGTTCGCAACTCCCGTTTGAAACGGGAAATGCGCAGTAGTGCTGACTTTGAGTAATAAAAGGATAAATTACAATGTGTCAATAGTGTGGAAAGGGTTCAAAAAAGATAAGTGAGATGTCCATGTAGATAAATAAGTGTTAAAAAGCCGATCATCTTTCGTTTTGTGAGGCCATTTTGAGTGGAACCTGTCGGGACCGGTGTGCTGGCAAATTCCTAGCCGACAATGTTCTAAAGCCCTGCGGCAGTCAATGTACGCGGCTATAGTACTAGAGCTATCCTTGGCCTTGCTACATACAGACTACAGTTACAGCATATCGTAGCTACTAGCTTTACTATGCTGATGGGGTCTATGTCCCCCAGGGTACTCCGGGAACGTACCCTAGGTGCGGTCGCGGTATACGACCGTACCTGGCACTAAATACTACTATCTAATATGCCGGACCGTACCTCGCCCAGCTCCAGCTAACACGAGTCTAGGGAGTCGCTACCCTACTCCCTAACCCTACACTCCTAACCGCTAGCCTAACCAATCAATCAGCTAGATAGTTACAGGGTACCGTTCGCGATAATACGGACCGACGCCAGGGTACGTTCCGGCAGTACCTGGGGGACTGCGCAGCTAGGCCTGCATACCTCCCACTCTCATTGGTTGATAAAAGATTATAGTTATTTTACAATTAAATTCTAAGTAGTGTTAGGGTTAGGATTAGGGTTGGGGTTTAGGGTGTAGGGTTAGGGTTAGGTTAGGGTTAGGATTAGGTTAGCGGTTAGGGTTAAGGGTTAGGGTCACAATGCAAATAAAAGTAATTAGTTAAAACAGGAGTTTCAGGCACGAAGTGATTTGTATCAAACAATGAGAGTTGGGAGGTATGCAGGCCCTAAGCGCTGCGAGTCCCTGGGGACTATAGATATCAGACCGCTAATGAGCCTTACTACTCCTACTACTAGTAACTAGTAGTATAGCTACGACTGACTACTACTAGTAACTGACTACTAATACTACTAGTAGTTAGCTAGTACTAGTACTCTACTAGTACTAGAAACCCACTTTGTGTAGCGGTAAACAACAATTAAATAAACACGGTTTATTTTACACATTAAATAAACACCGTTAAAAAAACAACGTTTAATCACACGACGACACGCGTCACACAAGGTTAGAAGGTTACCTCTATAAATTATGCAAATTATGCGCTCCAAGAATTTTATCACGCACTAACTCACGGATGTGGGCAATAAAACAAACATGACCTCACTGCCATCTATCGGTAACTATACTAAAGTATGCTAGATTTTTATTGAAAACCAAGCGAAACCTATTCGTAAATAATTAACTTTGTTGAAATTATACATCTCCATTGAGTATACACCCAGGAGTGTTTATATGTTAATATATTATTAATGCCAATGCCTCACTTTAGTAAGTATAAAGAGGTAAATATTCCAAACCTCGTTAAAGTGATTACGTCACCGTAAATAGTAAAAAAATAAAAAATACATTTCCACTTTTTCACAAAATATAAGTAAATTTTTTTTTTTTATTCTGTTACTTTTATGTTAAATTGCTGCATTATATAATCTACTTTACTAATATTGTTCGATGTGAACATACACTCGTGCCGGGCCATATCCAGAGATAAATTTTGTAGGAGGCAAATGTTGTGAGTTAAAGAACAAATTAAGGAGCGAAGCGATCGAGCCAATAGGGCGTGGGGTATGGGGCCCGCAACAGAAATTTTGTAGGAGGCATTTGCGCTCCTATTGCCTATAGTAGTTGGCACCAACGTTGGCCAACGGGATTTTTGCTCGTTGGGTGGACGATTGGCCGCACGGATTTTTGCTGCGTTGGGTGGGTACGTTGGCCCAACGTTGAAGCCGACGTTAGCCAAACGTTGACATCGTTGCAACGATGGCACTAACGTCGGCGCAGCCACGTTGCGGCGTCAACGTATTTTTTGCCAACGTTGGCCCAACGTCATTTTGCCCAACTGTTGGCCGCAACAGATTTTTGTTCAAGCGCGCCAACTGTTGGCCGGCAGACGTCATAATTGTTAACGTTGTCCAACGTCTGACAGCCAACAGTGGCACAACGGCTTTATTGCTCAGCGTGGCCAACGTTGATTTTCCCTCAAACACTCCCTCTTTGGTTCTCAGTCTCTCTCTACACACTAGTAGGACACACACCACACAGCACACACGCGCGCTGCACACCTTTCCTCTCTTTCTCTCCTCTCTCTCTCTCTCTTCTCTCTCCTCTCTCCATCTCTGCTCTTTCCTCTCTCTCTAATCTGACACATACACACTCCTCTCTGATTCTCCTCTCTCTCTCTCTGCTGTCACACACAAACACAACACGACACCATACCTCTCCTCTCTCTCTGAACACATGAACACTCCCTCTTTGGTTCTCTCTCTCCTGCCCTCACA